AAGAGTCAAAGAGTCTAAGAGTCTAACGGTCTAAGAGTCTAACGGTCTAAGAGTCTAACGGTCTAAGAGTCTAACGGTCTAAGAGTCTAACGGTCTAAGAGTCTAACGGTCTAAGAGTCTAACGGTCTTAGAGTCTAACGGTCTAAGAGTCTAAGAGTCTAACGGTCTAAGAGTCTAAGAGTCGAAGAGTCGAAGAGTCGAAGAGACGAAGAGTCGAAGAGTCGAAGAGTCTAGAAGAAGAATAAGAAGAACTTATTGCGAAGATTTGTTTGGATAAGCCAAATAAAAGTTCATAGTCTCTGCCTACCCCTATATGTAACAGGCGTGAAAATGTATACGTTTTTAACTTAATCGAATCGAAAGTTACAGTTCAGTGTTTCATCCTAAATAATGTATCCCTTACTTCAGTGGTTTGATGCAAAGTGTCAAATGAATTGACAGAAGTAGTTTATTCCAAATTGTACTACAAGAATATAGAAATAGAGTTCAATTTTGTCAAATGTTACGATCTTTTTGCACACCTTGACTGCTTCGTTACTTATGACGCTGTGGCTGCTACGATATTTATGGGCACCTTGCATGTACTCATATATTTGACGCTGTGTATGTACCGATGTATTTGAGCAGGGTGAATGTATCTATTAATTTGAGGACTTTTGTTGTACCGATATAATTGATTACTTGTGGTGTACCTATATATTTACATATCTTGTCTGTTACGATCTATATGACGCTGACTGTACATGCCGGAGAGTGCGTCAGTCGATGTCAGACCTTTGGACCGGTAGAACGTGTCGGTACGTGAACGAGCCAAATATAACTCAACGAATGCTACACGAACATATTAGAACCTTTAACCAAATAAAAAAATAATAAAAAAACTGTAAAAACAAATACAATTCTGTACAGAACTATTAGAGTTTCACTTTAAAAAACAACTCTTTTACTATCTATACTAGCGGATCCGACTGACGTTGTCCTGTCTACACGTCTTTAATTTGAATAAATTAATATGAAGTTAATATTTGATGAAAATTGTGAATCTAAACCATTCCCAGATCCCCTTGAACACACACAAAAAATTTCATCAAAATCGCTACGCTACAGTCGTTTGAGAGAAGTTCAGTGACATACACACTCACAGAAGAATTATATATATAAAGACTAGCGGACCCGATAGACGTTGTCCTGTCTACACGTCTTTAATTTGAATTAATTAATATGAAGTTAATTTTTGATGAAAATTGTGAATCTAAAACATTCCCAGATCCCCTTGAACACACACAAAAAATTTCATCAAAATCGGTACAGTCGTTTGAGAGTTCAGTGACATACACACTCACAGAAGAATTATATATATAAAGATACATATAAATAAAATTGGAGTGTCTGTTTGTAATACTGAAATCGTTTTTTATTACATGTAATCAATACGGTACATTCACAAAAATAACATTTTTTATAATTTTTGTCTGTATGTTTGTTCCGGCTAATCTCTGAAATGGCTGGACCGATTTTGACGGAACTTTTATTG